CCCCCCCCCCCCCCCCTGCTGCTACTGAAATTGCAACTTGAGGACATAGGTAAATATGGAAAGAAAAGGCCACTTAATAATTCTAATAAATATAAATTATATTTAATTGCTATTATATATTCAGCATTTATATCATCTACGCAGTCTCAGTAGCATAGCATTAGTTATATACTTACTTTACTATTGTGGTTCCTCAGGGCAGGCTTCCTCTGGCTTCACTTAACACGTCATTCTTTCATACGTACTGTGATTGGCACTGACTTAAGCCCTGTTTACACTACGCTCAATTTTTGGTACGGCACGGATAAAATTGGTACCCGTACCACTTTTTTGGTTCTTGGATTTTAGGTAGTCCAAGAACCAAAAAGTGGTACGGTACCAAAAATTGAGCGTAGTGTAAACGGGGCTTAGCTAAATAAGTAATCCAAGAACCAAAAAAGTGGTACGGGTACCAATTTTATCCGTGCCGTACCAAAAATTGAGCGTAGTGTAAACGGGGCTTTATTTAACAAGATAAATTTAATTTGTTTGCTTAATTTAAATTAAACGATGCATCAAATAAAAAAAAGCTTCACTTTCCGGCAGTATCTAGTAGACTAGTACTATGTCTATGGTGACAATGTCGAATTTTTGTGGGTAGCCGCGCATGCGCAGCTAACCACTATGATTAACCAATATAAACCAGTGCAACTTATAAACATGGTTGCTTGATTTGAAAAGAAGTTGGGAAATCTCTGACAAACTGATTGCAAAATGATTTTTTCTGTGTTGGTGTAGTGTACTCCGGTGAATATGATGCTTGTGATGTTACTCTGAGTGTATATCCACACCGGGCAAGCTTGAAAAATATGCCTGTCCACGGTGGGAATCGAACCTACGACCTTTGGAATGCTAGCCCAATGCCCTGCCAACTGAGCTACGCGGTCAGGTATTAAGAAATGTTCACGGCAAAGACCACAATCACAAAACCCAATATGTACATGATATTATCATTGTTTTAAAGGAGCAGTGTCACCATCTGCGAATCTTTCAATGCGCATACACAAACTTGAAAAAGTTGGGCCAACTTTTTCACCGAGTTTGAATATCCAATTCACCAAGAAACAATGCAAATATGTTAATCATTTCCATACTCACCAACGCCGCCATGACACTCTCTTCTCCGCAGAGGCTTCTGTTGGCTATGAGTACGATTAAGTATTGAGATATACGTTTCACTATACTTCACATGGCGGATCATCGAACACGAGCGGGGCCACTGGGCGTAGGAGCGCAGGCGGGATGCCATGGCCATGACACATGTAGCATTTCCCTACAATTTCCGACATATTCCGAGGTTAAAAAAAATATGTGCAAGACAGATGACACTGCTCCTTTCACATAACTTTCTGTAGACTAAAAATAGCAACATTCTAAAAAAATGTTCAGTTCATTTAAATATACTTTCCTCAGAAATTTCCCAACTTCCAACACGGCTATTACAATTTTTTGGGACACCCTGTATTGTGGCCTTTTAATTGTGGGTGATGCCATGTAAGGTATGGGGAAATATCAAGGTTTTGGGCATCTCGATCTAACCGCTACAGAACTGACAGTTAAAGAGTTGTAGATTGAAATTTCAAGATTATGATAGTTAAAAATGAATAGTTAAAGGGCTTAAACTAAAGCAAATTGTCTGAAATTTTGTACAGTGATTAAAAACCCAACATATTTTCCATCCATTAACTCAAAATACGATTAAAATTTCGTGCGCAAGCCATTTTTAGTTTGTTGGAAAAGAAACACCCCCCCCTCCCGCCCCCTCCCTGGTGTACACAATTTGAGTTTGAGTATTTTTTTTTCATTATTCTACATTATGGGTACTCAAGGAATCTATATATAACAAAAACTTGATACCACGAGCTGTTTTGCGAAATTGAGAGCAATTTCAAATCTGTTCAGTTTTTTTTTATATATATACACCCTGTAGAAATATTTTATTTTTACAGATTATTGCTAGGCTACAACCGGAAGTAATTGAAAAATTATGCAACAGCAAAATCAAAGTCGCATGCATGAAACCATAGAAATATTAGACCACTATTGTCTATTATTTCTATGCATGAAACACATGCATGCAAAACAATAATTAACTCACTAATTTGAATGGCACAACAACTTACTTTGGGCGCTTTCCATTAACACGGCCAGACCGGTCAGAACGGTCAAATTTTTGAATGGAATACAAAACGTTTGGGCTTTGGACCTATCTGACCGGAAAATTTAGATAACATTAGAATGAGGACCATTTTCGCTAGATATTTGAGAAACAAAGACCAAATGTTTCCATTGATACAGAAACAAAAATTCGGGTCTGACTGGTCAGGTCATTAAATGGAAAGCGCCGTTTTGATACAAGTTTCCAACTATCTAATGTCTATGTAATGTGTTTTGTTTAAGTGGACACTGTATTCCAATAAAATTGCACTGCTCTTAGCCAATCAGAATTGTGTAATTTTTCATGTATATTACCATGAATCTAAAAAAGACGTGCAAAAATATGACATGCTTAGTCTTAGAATATAACTGCATGTTTAACCCATTGAGTGGTAGCACTCTCCCCCTGACGAGTAATAAAATCGTCTGGCGTTAGACAGCTAGAGTAAAATAATAAAGTAGTGCGCATCTGGGCGCATTGCCACAAAGGGTTAACAGGGTGCATGAACAGATAGTCTGATTAACTCATTGAGTGGCAGCACTCTCCCCCTGACGAGTAAAATCGTCTGGCGTTAGACAGAGTAAAGTAATAAAGTAGGGCGCATCTAGACACATTGTAGTCTGCGAATCCAGACGTCATTTTCCGAGCAAAGAATGAGCGTGGGAAATGACGTCTGGGTTCGCAGACTAGGCGCATTGCCACTTAAGTGATATTAATTTTACATACATTTGATGCACTAATACAATATATACTCCCTTTCACTTTGTTTTGCTATTGTGAGTATTGACTCTTAGCTAAGTTTCAAGTAAATTGTTTATCATAACAATGTCAATGAAAAATTTTAAAATGTCAAAAGTGTTATTTTAAACTTAATAAGAATATCGAAAAAGTTCTGATTGTCTATTGATCTGAATGTGAAGATACCTAATTAAAAGTCAATTAACAGGAAACCTAATTGTTTAGAAGATACATGCACAGTATAAGTGATTCAGTATATATTAACCTTCCAGTAGTTCGCCGGTTTAAGCAACAAAAATCCGGTGGAAAATGAATTCTACAGCAGATAATCTGCACTTTATAAAAAATTGTATTACTCCACTCGGACGTACATTCACTTTCATCACTATCGCTCCCTCGACGAAATATTGTGTCAACCAGATTCTTGTCTGTGTTTTCACTGGCTTGTTTGTAATTCCTGTTGTGTTATTGAACGGTATTTCAACAATCACAATCTTGAAAAGTTCTCAGCTGAAGGAAAAGTTGTGTTATTTTGTAATTCTTGTTCAATCGGTTTTTGATCTTATAGTTGGAGTCGTGTGCATGCCTTTGTTTATCATAATAGAATCCACTCAAATAATAGGAACGATGAGCTGTGTTACTGTTTTTTACTTGGCACAAGTAATGATTCTACCAGGTTCATTTTCTCTAATAGCGCTATCCGCTATAAATTTGGAGAGATACATGGGCATTTTACATCCGATAGCTCACCGAACTAAACTGACCAAGAGAAAATTATTAGTTTACCTTTGCGTGGCTGGATCGTTAAATGGGTTGTTCGTTCTCTTGTTCTTTAATATCCATGAGGTTTTTCTAATCCCATGTTGTTTAATTCTGCTGATTTTTCTCTTGTCTACCAGCTTTATTTATACAAGAATTTTCCGTGCAGGTGCAAGGGCACTTCGTAATACAAGAAATAGACTGGCGGTTCACAATCAAACTGAACATAATCCAAAGCAGTTGCTAAAAGAAAAACGTTTTTCAAAAGAAATGAAGTTGGCGAAATCCTGTTTTTTGGTTGTCGTTTGTTTTGTTTTGTTTTTGTTGCCCTGTTCGTTGACTATAGTGTTTTCTAACGATGATGCAATTGGTTTCAAGATCTATACGTCATGGTCTCTTGTCCTAGCCTTTTTAACTTCTATCTCGAATACAATCATTTTCTTTTGGGCTAAGCCTTTGCTACGACAGCAAGCCATAAAGACCGTGAAAACGTTTTATGGTCAGAAGAACAGTGTCAAATTGTCATGAACAGCGCTTTGGAAAAGTGGGCAGCGAAAGGACTGGAAGGAGATTGTTTCCATTAATCAGCCGTCACTTGGCTATTCGTGGGTTTCACTAAGGCATTATGCAGTGAATCTGATTGGGGGTCAACCTCAAATATATGGATGCTTATGCTGTACTGGAGTGAGAAAATGATACGAAATTCCATGTATTTGCCACCAAACGCAAGGCTAATATATAAAACGAAGCTCTCATTACTATTGGCACTACCATTTCCAACACTGGCACGGACCGTTTACGTTAATTTACACTGTACCGGATAGCTTTCCATAGCGACGTGAAAAAAGCACTTATCCCTTCCTTTTAGGAACGTTATTTTTCAGAGGAAATATTGCAACGGAGAGATGTTGTTTCGCTCAGTTTGTGAAAGTTGTACACAGGGCCGCCCAGAGGGGGGGGGGGGAAAGGGCCGGGCCCCAGTTGCTAGGGGGCCCTGAAAAATTTTTGTTGGGCCCCAGCCTTTTTTGTGTGTTAAATATTTCCGCGCGAAGGACAAGATATCTGTTTTCTTGGGCTAAGTACCGAATTTTGGCATAAAAAAATGAGATAAAGTCCCTCGAAAGCAATTGCAACGTACTCGTCCGGAAAAATTTTGTACTCCGGAAAAAAATTTTTACCCCTAAAATGGTACACTGACCGAAAATATTTTGGCGACGGGGGGGGGAGGTTGTTGTCCGGAAAAAAATTTTCCGGGAAAATTTTTTTAGATAGGGGCCCCTAAAAAAAAATTTGCCCCGGGCCCCCGCCAACCTCTGGGCGGCCCTGGTTGTACATTATATAGCTGCTTTTCGCGCCGCTACGGAAAGCTATCCGATATAGTGTAAACATAGTGAAGTCGTATACATCTATATATAAAATAAAAACTCGATTATATTATGAAATTTATGAATACAAAATAACCTGCAACAGTGGCAAATTAGGAGATTTTTAATAAAGGACAAGAGAGAAGTCTCATGAAGATATTAAAATTTCTATTAATAAACGTACATTTAGAAATCGATTTTGGAACAAATGTAAGCAATAAAAGTTATTTAAAGTTTGTTCGTTCACGGCAACCAGGTATATCAATCATGTTCTCGCTCGCTACTCTGGTTTATATAAGTGAATACAAAACCCAGTCGAATTGTAATCAAGACCCAACGTTTCGACCCTCCAGTCTATAGTGTCTTCGTCGGGGGTGATCTAAAGTTGCAATGGCCATTCTTAAATACCCAAGGGATGACGTCATCTGCCAATAAGATTCATGTATTCCTCTGGCAAATAGGCACCGTCATCCCTATTCAAAGCATGATTACTCATATTTATATGCCACGCTTCTAGGCATCGTCTTTGGCGATAGTGATTGTTTGTGGTAATTACTTTAGAATTGGGAAAATTCTTACCGAAAGAGTCTGTGGCGCAGCTAACCATGGCAACAGGTCATGATATGCAAAGATTAAAGACATTCTAAATTAGGTTTGAATAATGCAAATCTTCAAAAATTTGCATAGTATGACATGTTGTTATGACTAGCTTCGCCACTGGAAAGATTGGTGACCTCAAGAAATCAGAAACCAAACCACCTCTCGTAGCCTCGTGAATCAACAATGCGTTGCAGGCAACCCCAGGGCAAGAACAAAACTTTTTATATATATTAAGTTAATATATATAAAAATATCGCAAAATTCTAGAAATTTTCGACGTTTTTAGAGATGTATGGCGTTCCTTTCAGGTCAAAATTAGCTATATTAATAATGTTGTAACTCGAAACTAAATTGAACTCGCACAAAAATAAATTGAAAGGAAGCGGAAGTAAACACAAAAACAAATCGAAAGGAGGTCGCTGATTTAATTGGAAAATAAAAAGAAAAATTCCGCTCAGCGCGCCGAATTCCACCTAGTGTAAAACTGGTTTTAATATGCGGGTTTGGTGGAAAATGCGGATTGCGGATAACATATTTTATAATTATGTAAATAACACGCGTATCAGCTTTTCGCGCATTTGGACTTTTTCGCGTATTAGCTTTTTCACGCCTAAGGGACTGGTCATAAAGTAACTGCTAGGGTGGGCCGGAGGTAAATCACAAATTTTTCCAATAAGTTTGGTGACCCATCTTAGGATGTAGATAAAAATTTCAAAGCCCATCTAATTTTACCAAATTTATTTCATGACCCACCCACCCAATCTAAATTGGGAAAATACACTTTTATAAAAAAATACTTGAAGGTATGAACATTGTAAATATACACTGGCACTGTATTGACATACATAATTCCACCAAGCTTGACCAACACATTCATCACCAATTACGATACTGAACTGTTCTCGAGCTCCATTTGGTTGTATTTGCTGTGATTCGACCACTTCTTGTTGTTGTATAAAACAAAGTACTGGCTTCAATAGCATCATTTGCATTTCATAATTTGGATAGTTTTGTTTACTTTTATTATTAATATCTTTATATAATATATTGGTTTTTGTTTGGTGGCCCAACCGTGGACATACAAAAAAATTGGCGGCCCATCGAAACTGCCCAAAGATTTTCCATGGCCCGTCTCGGATCACTCCAGCCCACCCTAGCAGTTACTTTATGACCGGTCCCTAATGTTTTATTAACTTTTGAGAAATCAATTGTGCATAAAATTAATTATGCATGAATCAGTCATATATTAGTAAAAGCAACCAAAAGGCAGATTTGAGAAGGCAATGGGGTAAAACTTGTTGTGAGCTGAGCTTTTGCCCAAGAATAAAGAGGCGCGCAAAGTACTCTTGATATTACATGACGTCAGAGGTTCCCCTCTAGTCAGAAAGTTTAGCCACATTAAATTTATTTTTAATCTTCTCCTATTTTTTTTTTCTTTACAGCTAATGGTGGCAGCCGCAGCTGAACCTGTCAATGCCAATGGTAATATATTATACACTGTATACTTCTTGCTATAAAGCTGGTCGAGCACCAATGTGAAGGCCGGAATAAAGCAACGGAAGGCAAATCTAGATTTCGCCGCATTAATTCTGTTCGTTCTCCTTATAAAACTGGTTGAAACAATATTTAGAAATGGGTGGAATGTTGACCTTGCAAGCCGCTCCATTTTATTTCATGCTAAGGGATCCGGTCCATATTTATCAACATTTTCACAAGCGTACAGAGAGTATTCCTCCCATCAAAGCGTACTTTTAAATTGTTAAATCTCGGGAATGATGATGATGAGTCTTTCAGTTAATCAACATTTTAAGAAGCGCACATCAGCATTAACCCCCCCCCCCCCAGTTTTTCAAAGCTATATTAGCGCTAACCCTCGTTTAAAATTTAACCGGCCGCTGTTTTAGTTTGTTTATGTCTACACGTCTGTTTATTTCAAAACGTCAAAGAAGAAAACTTCCACTGAGTGATAATAATACTAATAACTAAGTTACCCGAACTAACTAATAATAATAACTAACTGAGTTAGTGACTAGCTTAATAACTAAGTGAGTTACCCGAAAATTGAACTTGGTGTTCAGCGAATAATGTCTATTCCTGTTTAGAGGGTCCTGAAGGGGTGAAATGGGAACTAGAATTTGCCTATTTTTGGACTGGGAAAATGGGATTTGGGTTACTGGAACTGAGAATGATAGACACAGAATTAGGAATGAGAAAACCCGCATACTATTACAAAAGCAGTTGTAGTTGGATATTTCAGAGTGAAATATAACTTTAAGAAAAGCTATTGCACGTCAGCTATTTATTTACACAGCGAGCTTGGCCTAGTTTTAACTAAGAGAGTGATTGAACCCAGAATTGCATTTTATAAGCCTTCGCATAGACGAACCACCTGCTCTGCAGTTTCCTTTCAATTTCACAGTTTCCCTGCATGGGATTTGGTCTAAAAATGTCTGGAAATGGGATTTAGAGAAAATTTGTGCTGTGATATAGCATGTAGACCCTCCCTCCCCCCTTCAGGATCCTCTTTGTAATTCATTATTTTTGTTCTCAATCACTTTTGTTATACATTTTGTTTCAGAAACGGGTAAACCAAACTATAGTCAGATTTACATTTATCTCTCAAGTCTACTGAAAGGTGAAACTCCATCATCACTTCCTCCACTCGGTATGTTAACTATTGTAAAATTCCGTCAATCAATGACCGGACATATACTTCCAGGGGCGCCAGAACCACGAGGGCAGCTAGCTGTCCCCGTTGCCCAAACAGTATGGGTGCAGCAAGTTGCCTTTTTTACAAGAACTACATACACTTCGAAAGTCGTGCGTAACCTCTTAATGTTTTCATCCATGACATAAAATAATTACCAAATCTAGATTATCATAAGACGTGCCTAAAATACATGAAACGCTATCGCAGACCCTAAAAATAGAACAATATTTTGGGGGGCCATATCTCAGGACGGGCGGACGATTCACCCCCCCCCCCCGCACTCCTTTGGGTTGGCTACGCCCCTGGCTTCAGGCCCTCTGTATCGGTTTCTTCTTTTGAGCAATTTTATACAAATAAACCCGAGAAGAGTTTCTCTGACCTGTTTGGTGAATCTAAAGGCCTGATTCCACAATGACGAAATTGTGTGCGCAAAATTGTGTCTGCGAAATGTGGATGGTTACACATGAGTGATTTTATTAAATTTTGCCACTTTATTCGCTTTTGCAGTGAGTAGAACTGGCTCATGATGACTTCTACTCACTGGCGAAGCGATAATTTTTCTCGCGAAGCCTAATTTATCTTTACTGCGCATGCATGATTTCATTTCGTGCGAAATGTTTCGCATTTCGCCATGAAAAGGCGCTCGTGGAATCAGACCTTATTAAAACGAACGAGACGCAAACTCATTATTATGGCAGAAATAAATTTACGACGAATTATACACCTTTCTTTCGCGTATGTCGAAATTACAATCTATGATCAATGCTGTTTATCTTGTATGCATGCAGTTCAGTGTATTACCAGCACTGTTGACAGTTTAGTCCGATCCGACAATATTTTGTGTTCACATTGACCATCCCACCCCCAAATTTCTGGGCTTGGGAAGACGCAGACCTGTCTGAGCAACTCGAACCGGTTTTAACGTAGCTGCTGTCTAAAATGAAATTGTTATGCTTTGATTTGATTTTATTTGTTTTCGGTAAATAAGTCTTAGATCTTTTAATGTACACTTTTTAGGGCAGATAGAGTATTTTAATTGCACTTTTGCCCCAATGGCCTCTTCCATGTTTCGGCTTGTTTTAACTCAGTGGCGCAGGCACACATGAAGGTTATATCGCCATGTTTCGTGCATGAATAGGTTTCTCTTTTATCTTAAGTCCAATTACAAACCTATCCTTAATTAACCCTAGTGCGCATGAATCGTGAGGAAATAACCTCATGAAAATGAGGCCATTGGGGCAAGAGTGCAATAAACAGTATACAGTCTATTGATACGTAAAAGGACTTTTTGTGTAATATGTTAATAAAACATAATAAATAACGGGACAATTCCCTGGTAACAAACTCAATTTCCGTACAATCCTTTTCATAATGCTAACTTTATCACTGCCCTATCCCTAACCTTAATCGTAGTCCTACTCCACGCAGGTGTTTGTGATATACGAAATTATTGGGCGCTTTCCATTTAATAGCCAGACTGGTCAGATCAGAATTTCTGTTTCTGTTTACAGTAATGGAAGATCTAGTTTATGTTCCTCGAATATATAGCAAAAAATGAACCTCGTAATTTGATCCAAATGGTCCGATCAAATAGGTCCGAAGGCCGAACCCGGCCAAACGTTCATGTTCTATTCAACAATTTGAGCGTTCTGACTGGTCTGGCCGTGTTAATGGAGAGCGCTGCTTGGTAATTCCGAATGTCACAAAAACCAAATTCAATGACTGTTTTATAGTACATTGCATTTTCTCTTTTGACAAACAATGATTTGTGGCACGAAACAACGTTTAGTTCTCAAGAAAAGCAGTGAAAACGGTTTAAAATATGACAATAACAGCCTAAAAATATTAGAATACTCGTTTACCTATCAATATTCCGATAAAAATATAAAAATTGTTTTTTGCACAAAAGCATTCACACAAACGTCGTTCGTTCTCCTTGTTTCTTCTCTGTTTTTTTTTGTTTTTGGTTTTTATTCGTATATAAAGCTATCGCTTACTATAAAATTTCATACCGCTGGGTCAAACTACAGATAACACTGTTATCTGTTGGTTTTGTGATTAGTTCCATATTTGACATGATGGCCAATAAGATGACGTACATGTAGTCAGGGCCGTAACTTGGGTATTACGGCTGGGGGGGGGGAGCTTGTTTTGCCCTACCAATAGGGCGTGGCAGAAGTCGTGCCCGACGGACATTTCAGGCCCTGATTAATATTTCTTTTACCTAAATTGTTGGCAAAGCGGGGGCACACTATTTTTCACTAACTTACCGAAATTTGTACATTTTTTCAGTAATACTTTTGTTAGAGACCGGTCATTAATAATGGAAGGATGGGGGAGGCGGCTTCAACTTTTTTGCCTGAATTGGGAGCAGTCTCAAACTGAAAAATATGTGACAAGGGTCAACCCCAATTTTTTCATACTTTCCTAATCATTTTCAATCTCTCGCCTTTATCGTATCCCACAAAATATTTCACCTTTTTTAGTTCCTATAATCGTAGTTTCCATATGTATATGCAGTTCACCATAGGAGTCTAAGTAAATAACAACCTGAGTGTATATCCACACCGGGCAAGCTTGAAAAATATGCCTGACCACGGTGGGAATCGAACCTACGACATTTGGAAGACTAGCCCAATGCTCTGCCAACCGAGCTACGCGGTCTGGTCGGTTCGAGTATGTGATATTTCGGAACAGAATCTAGTTCCTTTGATATCAATGTTATCTAATAATAATCCGAAATATCACATACTCGAACCGATCAGACCGCGTAGCTCAGTTGGCAGAGCATTGGGCTAGTATTCCAAAGGTCGTAGGTTCGATTCCCACGTTCGAAGGCATATTTTTCAAGCTTGCCCGGTGTGGATATACACTCAGAGTAACATCACAAGCATCATATTCACCTGAGTACATTACACCAACACAGATAAATAACAACCTTTTTGAATACTGGTCCTCTAATTATTTAGGATACACAAATACACAATGTCTTACACCAGTACTTGTCTCATTACCTATTTTACCCCCAAAAATGTAACGAATTAAATGTTGGAGTGGGGGGAGTCTTAAATTTTCTTGATGAAGGTGGGGGCGTCTTGAAAATAAAGGTCTTGCGATCGGGGGCGGCTCTAAAAAAATTCAATATTTGTTGTTTATCACCCACCGCCCCCATTATTAATGACCGGTCCCTTAATTTATCAAAACATATCCTACAATTATTACTTTTCAAAAAATTATGTAACATTTTCTGCTGAGTTACATATTTTTTGGCCGACGAGCGTGTCGTTAAAATTGCTGGACAAAACTACAGTATTACAACATGGGGGGGGGGGGTGTCGCACTCCCCCTCCATGCAGGAGTTACGGCCCTGCGTGTAGTGAGTACAATGTATAATAATAACTGTGAACGCTTACATTTTTAGAATCATCTGTTGTACTAACCCTGATTCAGGACATCGTGAACAAGATAAGAACGAGTGATGTCAGTGGTCAAATGTATTACCTCTCAAACTGGTACAAACAATTTCAAAGTGAAACTGATACCACCAGAAAGAGTGACGGTGATGATGGTGAAGGAAAGACTCCGTCGAAAAGCAATGTATCGCCTGATACGGTAAACGACAAGGAAAAACGAAAAGATACTCCACAGCACGGAACCGAGACAAATACTACCACAACACCCAGGCCAACGTCCTTAAATCCATTTCCAAATGTATCGCCTGGTACAGGTGCGGTAAAACGTACCTCGTCAGGACGAATAGTGCGACAACGAGTTGACCTTGCAATATACAATAGACATGAAGAGACGAGTAAGAAGGAAGATAAGAATGTAAAGGACAAGGAAAAACGAAAAGATTCTCCACAGCACGCAACCGAGACAAATACTACCACTACACCCAGGCCAACGTCCTTAAATCCATTTCGCATCCCTGTTAATTTACTCAATTTCAAACAAACGCAAAGTACATTAGTTACGAGGCAAGCGAAATAGTTCATTTTCTAATTACGACACCCCTTTGTAACATGCACACGCGTGAAGAACCCAAAATTGCCGCCAGATCTTACCTTGATTTTGGCCACAGAGGACAAATAGGAATACACGGTATTTGAATACAAGAAAACCTGTGAGTTTCTAAAACAACATCTAGTTTCTTTTGCAGGAACAAATTACTGGCAGGGGAATTCTAAGGAACTTCACAGCTCCCAGAGAGCAAGAGCTGTTACACAGGGGTGCATTACAGATGATGTTTATAACACCAAGCTCGAGTTGAAATATTTATTTGCCTTTGAAGTATCATCGAGCTATTATTGAACTGCTTAGTTTGCAATATTTGCTATCTCAATAAAAAATCAAATATTTCGTTCACAAATATGATTATGTGTGTTGAGTAAAAATAATGATTTATTATTTATTTAAAAGATTCGTGGTTCCTGATTGGCTAACAGCCAACTAACTGTGAAATTGTCATATCAACTCAATAGCTGACCAATATATTTAGTATAAACCTACTAGTAGGCTATCATGTCTCGTGCGTTCTGATTGGCTACGCTACTAATAGGCTATTAGTGATAGCAAAGATTAGATACAATAAAGATGTGCCACTCGACGTATTTCCCTAATGTTTGCGTGTCCGTAATTTTCCGCGCTGATCACGAGTGGTCACGCGAGATGACGAGTGCATAACACTTACTGCCAAAATGGCGGCGAGACTGATGGCGTTGGATTTTACTATTTAGTAGACCGCGAGCAGTCCCTCGAAGAAATGAGGGACTGCCGACAACACATCAAGAAACGAAATACGCCCACTTTTCGCTCTTGTCAAATTGGCTCCGCCTTTGCATAAACATTACTATATCCAATTAAATCTATCCAATAGGAAACCGTTAATGTCATGTTTATTTACAGGGTGTATAAAAAAAGGTACCGTATTTACTCGTTTGAGCGCCGCCCCCGATTGAGCGCCGCCCCCGATTGAGCGCCGCCCCCGAATGAGCGCGAATGTGAGATCAATTTTTTTAAAAGAGCGCCGCCCCCGAATAAGCGCCGCATTAAACAGTGTAAAAACTTTCCACCGTCAAAATGGGGACATTTAGTGACAAAGAAATTTAAAACTTGATTATTTTATTGTTAAAAGCTCTTCTTATAATTCACAAATAAAAGTTCTTTTACTGAAGAGCGCCGCCCCCGATTGAGCGCCGCCCCCGAATGAGCGCCGTGTCTTCAGCTCTGAGAATTTAAAGAGCGCCGCGGCGCTCAAACGAGTAAATACGGTAATCGAACTTCAGCGCGCTATTGTACCTGAATTACTCGGCGTCAATCTCGTACCCAGAGCAATGCCTGTGCGCGGGCTAGGATGGCATTGGCTCTGGGGAAATTGATAACCGGAACCCCTAAATTTAGGGGTTCAGGTTCTTTGTCGGCATGCACGATTGATAAACGTTAAACCAATCACAGCACAGAAAAAATTCAATTTCCCCAGAGCCAATGCCATCCTAGCCCGCGCACAGGCATTGCTCCATAGAGATTATAAATAACACTAGAGGAGGCATCGAGTTTAAAAATTGGGAACGCAGCTAATGGGGGGCAAATTCAAGTCCCGGATATAAAATCGTGCTCTCATTGGCTGATTTGAAACTCGTCACCAATGGGAACACGGATACACATCCGGGACTTGAATTTGCCCCCCAATAGTCGCGTTCCCTTTTTTTTACTGACTTAAGATTACAATGCCTCCTCTAGTGTTATTTATAATCTCTATGCATTGCTCTGGGTACGAGATTGACTCGGCGTATGAACATTTTTTTCATATTCGAAAAGATCAGGCTTTTAGCTGTTGAATGACATGTTTTTCATGCCAAGTGGAGAAAAAATAAGCAAGTACGAGTCCGATAAAAAATGTTAGTCAGAATCGCATATTACAACGGTGAAAATATGCGATTCTGACTAGCATTTTTTATCAGACTCGTACTTGCCTATTTTTTATCCATTTGGCATGAAGAACATATCATTCAACAGCTAAAAGCCTGATCTTTCCGAAGATGAAAAAATCTCGTTCATACGCAGTAATTCAGACACAATAGCGCGTTGAAGTTCGATTACCTTTATTTTGACACACCCTGTATAAAATCAACATTCAGTCTGGAAATTATTTATAGCATAATTACTACGTATCGGATTTGATTGACAGGCGTATCGATTTCGACCAATGGGAATTTTGCGTTGTGTGGGCAACGCGTATTTCATTTCGAGTGTATCTAAAAGTCGAGGGTCGAGAGTCGAGAGTAAAGGTCGAGAGTCGAGAGTAAAAGTCGAGAGTCGAGAGTAAATGTCGAGAGTCGAGAGTAAAAGTCGAGAGTCGAGAGTAAAAAGTCGAGAGTAAAAAGTCGAGAGTCGACAGCAAAAAGTCGAGAGTCGACAGCAAAAGTCGAGAGTCAACAAAAATGTCAGCAGAAACAACAAAGTCAAAATATTTTTAACACAATATATAGCCGTACGTTCCGTAACAACGGCTGAACTACAAACTTTCGCATATAAATATAGCTACAATAACAGTCAATAATATAAAAACGTGAACAAAAAAACTGCATGATACGAAACTAATCAGTTATCATATGTGATGCTTTCATCTTGCTAAAAGTCATTTCATTATTACATTTTATTTTGCTAATTAGTTTAAATTTATAACCTAGGGCTAGGGGCCTAAAACAAAAAGCCGTATGGTTTCTAGTAGGCTCCTAGCCCATTTCTTGTAAATAGTTTATTTCTTTTATGTGCAATATCAATATCTTGGGCGAATCAGCAAAAAAAAAAATTAAACTGATTTTGCTGCTTTTCAATGTAGCACATAAACGGAATTTTGATAGACAGTCGCAGATAAATTAAAACATTGTCTCTATTCTCATGACAAAGTTCAATGTTTTTACCGAGAAACGTCAATGTTTGTGATATTTTAAATCATTTGATGGTTTCAATGCCGGATGATTCCAGCTATAGACTAATTTTGATCTAGGCAAGACATGAGGACAAAATCCATCACCACAGCTAGAAAGAGCATGCTAAAATTAGTAAAATTGCAAAGTTTGGCCGCGAAAAATGTTGTAAAATGCGGAAAATATCACCTTCGGAATTTGCAAATTTTGTATTAATTTCTATCACGCGCGGGAAAATGCACCACTTTCAGCCCAAATATGGATTTTGTTCTTCTTGTCTAGAAGAAATAAACTATTTACAAGAAATGGGCTAGGAGCCTACTAGAAACCATATGGCTTTTTGTTTTAGGCCCCTAGGTTATAAATTTAAACTAATTAGCAAAATAATATGTAATAATGAAATGACTTTTAGCAAGATGAAAGCATCACATATGATAACTGATTAGTTTCGTATCATGCAGTTTTTTTGTTCACGTTTTTATATTATTGACTGTTATTGTAGCTATATTTATATGCGAAAGTTTGTAGTTCAGCCGTTGTTACGGAACGTACGGCTATATATTGTGTTAAAAATATTTTGACTTTGTTGTTTCTGCTGACATTTTTGTTGACTCTCGACTTTTGCTGTCGACTCTCGACTTTTTGCTGTCGACTCTCGACTTTTTACTCTCGACTCTCGACTTTTTACTCTCGACTCTCGACTTTTACTCTCGACTCTCGACATTTACTCTCGACTCTCGACTTTTACTCTCGACTCTCGACCTTTACTCTCGACTCTCGACCCTCGACTTTTAGATACACTCGGGCAACGCGTATTTCATTTCTTGATGTGTTGTCTGCAGTCCCTCCTTTCCTTTCTCGTGCCTGCAAATCTAAACCCTCGGAAAGGAGGGACCGCTCGCAGTCTAACTATTTAGAGACTGATGGCGTTGGATTTGACACTTACTGGCAAAATGGCGGCTATAAAAAAATCTCGGACATAATTTCACATCTTTATCGTATCTAATCTTTGGTCAAAGCTTTGGTGATAGCCTTTGATAGCCTACTAGTAGCAACAAGCGGCGAAGGACGCGAGAGTCAATGGCCGCTTTTAAGTATTAAAAGCTGCATTTAAAGAAAAAAAGCTTATCAAAATGGCGTAATTTTGGTTCTCGATTGCACACAAACAAAGACTCTTGGAAACTGCTGACACATGCGGTAATATTCTTAAGTTTTCCCAACTCTGCTCGTAGTTTTGAACATGAAAGTGACAGGCGATTTTTAAAATATATGCACAATGTTTGTTAATATTTCAAGCAGAATCGTTGAAATTCAAAATTTGTTTGTAGGTACTTACCCCTATTTTCTCAACCTCTTTAGTGTGTATCATTTTAAAGAGTTTTTTTTCGTTTAAAGGTTTGGCCGAGTTTGTTTTTCGCCTTTTCTTGAGCGTTTTTAGTCGAGTTTTTCGATTAAAGGACATTGGCAACCAAAACTTTTATTGCTTCATCTGAAAGAGCATGAAAGAATAATCCGATTGGCCGTTTAATGCTCTATTCTATCTCATCTAGTTCCGAAGTTATACGCAAAAATGTGCAAAATATAAATTGCTGATTCAGCACAACATAGACGTCATTAGTTGGGTAAGTATGTTTATTGAATAGTAAACTAAAGCATAGCTAAGTTATTATTGGCTCAAATCAAATGAAATTTTGCATACAGATAGTACATGATGAGACGCATGGGAAAATACTTCTAATTTTGTTGTCAAGGCAACACAGTCGTTCTCAGGCCCATGGACGTACCGGAAGGAAAAATTAGGGGGGGGGCGGAAAGAAATTTCCCCGACTTTTCGGGATTATGCCCGACTAGTACCTAAAAAATTTTTTCCGGAAAATTTATTTCGGCGACCCCCCCCCCCCTTTCGACAAAAAATTTTCGGTCAGTGTACCATTTTAGGGGTCAAAAAAATTTTCCGGACATACCAAAATTTTTCGGAACATCACACAAATTTTCCAAACAACACAAAATTGACCACAAAATTGACTGAATTTTCGACTACATTGACAGAATTTTTATTACAAACCAAAATTGCCCGACTGTTGATCGAATATTGCCCGACTGCCCAAAAAACTGGGGGGCTACCGCCCCCACCGCCCCCCCCCTCGCCCGGTACGCCTATGCCCAGGCCCCTTACACTGATTTTGAATAACTAGTTGCATTTATCTATGTGTATGTCATTTTCGAATTATTATCATGCAAGTAAACTTTTGGCATGCATAGGTATGGTACACATACTTCTGATATTATTTTAACCTTATCAGTACCATGAATAAAGCTGTTTTATAAAATTGGCACAAGGGGCCTGGGAACGACATTGTTACCTTGGCAACAAAATTAGAAGCGTTTTTCAATGCGTCAACAATTCTTGTTGGCGGCGGAAAGTACGAAATTTATTT